AATGTAGAGTTGATCTACAAGAAAAGTTTCAACTAGGAAATTCATCTTTGCCTAACATTTTGTAAAAGCTGTTTTTCTATACAGTTGGAATTGCTTTGCAATTTTTAATACCAACTATAAATGTCTTTTAAAATTTGGGCAGATGCTGATGAACAGACATAAAAGCAATGGAGATTTGATTTATCTGTGTTCAGTCATTCCTCCCTATGCTTAAAAAATTGAGGATTGATGATTCACATAGAAGGAAAATAATATTAACCCAAAGCAAAATATTCTTGAGGAGATTCTTCTCAGATGTTAACTTAAGCCAAGTAGAAACATTTCTTTAGTTAATATATGCTCGTATTTTTAAAAACGTTTGAATTTTAATAGTTTTCATTTTGTTATCAAAAGAGAATATCTGTTAACTTAGAATTCTGTAAACTCGACTGGACAATAATGTGTTATTTTACATTCTAAGTAAACCAACCAAATAAAACCATCCAAAAATGGTGCCTGTTCTCTGGTTTGTTGTTGTAATACTGACTACAATGTTTTTTATCACTATCTCTCCTTTCCAATAAGAGTCAAAGTAGTTGTACCCCTATTTATGTATTTCCAGAAGATCATGATTGTTCTCCAATTTCACACATATAGAAGTGGTGAAGTCTTTGCTTGATGAGATATTTGTAGGTGAAAGCTGTCGGAGGCAATGAGGTCATCAGGGAAGAGCACTCAAGAGTGGGATCACTTCCTTTGTAAGAGCGTGATGGCCCCTTTCTCTCTTCCCTGTAACGAGTCATAAAGGAGCTCTATCTGTATGTCAGAAGAGGCTTCTCAACAGCACCAACTCAGCAACTTGATCTTGGACTCCCAAGGTTTCAAATCTGAGAAATAAATGTTAGCCAGAAAACCTACTCCATGGTGTTGGTCTAAACGGATGTTTAAAAACAGCAGTGGAAGATGTTTCCGTGCTAGATGGAGAGGATTGTGAGCGCTGAATGAGTAAGATGCCAGCAGGATTTTGGACATAGGGACATTTTAACTTATTCTCAGGGAGTGGATGATAAACCATAGAAATATCTCAGATTTAGGATATCATTACCCATTTTTTTTAAAGACAAGGCAATGGACATAAGTTAATGAAGTGAATTACTTGAGATCACAAAATAACTTGGATAATGAGGGACAGAAGGTAAAATTAGAATCCTAAACATATGTTTAAATAATCAGGAGAAGCGAACTGATTTATACTATAGTCTCGCTTCCTTATTTGACTTCAATTTGTATTTATGACCAATGGGCGAGAAATATTTATTTATTTTCTGTTTTTGTTTTTTGAGACAGGGTTTTTCTGTGTAGCTTTGGTGCCTGTCATGGAACTAGCTCTTGCAGACCAGGCTGGCCTTAAACTCGCAGAAATCTCCCTGCCTCTGCCTCCTCAGGCCTGCGACGAGGTTGGAAGGTAGTGTCAAAGATTATATTAGACGATTTCTATTGCTGTGACAAAATATCTTAGCAAGTCAAATGAAAAGTAGTGATGCATGTTGGCTCATGGTTTTAGATATATTTGCTTATGATATGGACTTTGAGGCAGAGAGTATGCAGTCAAACAAAGCTGCTCTCACCTATGTCTGCCAAGGAAGCAAAACAGAAAGACTTAAGGAGGGAATATCCCTTCAAAGGCATAGCGCATTTCCCCTCATTGGCCCAGAGATATACTTCATTAACCAAGGGCCCACCTTTGGATGTCTCAAGTTAATATAATTACCGTCCTTGTGATCTAGTTATCTCTCAATAGTACCACTAGCTGAGGGGGTGGAGGTGAGGAGGTAAACCTGCAGCATTTGGGTCTTTTGAGGTGACTCTTCATAATCAAACCATAATGGGATCTTAATTCCACATGCTAGTCCTTCTATAACTAGCAGCATTGAATCACCCATGAAAGGGCAAGGGATAAGGCAAAATATCAAGAAATAAAGGTCGGTGTTGGGAACATGGCTTCATTCAAGGGAAGTGATGAGAAGATAGACCAGAAAACGAGCGTAGCCCATGTGAAAACACCCTTTTTAAGGAGAATGTGGACCTGCACAATCTCATTCAACTTACAAAGGTTTTTTCCTCATTACGTACAGTTCTAGTTTCAGATAACAGAATGAAAACTGAACTAGCTTAACGAAAACACTACATGGAGAGCTTGAATACTCTCCAGACCCATCTGGACTTTTGTTCTCTTCAAACGACAGCTTCATTCTTTCTCATGGCACAGACAGACTGAATGTGAACCTTTTCTTTCCCAGGAACAAAAATCCCAGGGAAGAGACTTGGGAGAAAGGACTATCTCCCATCTCTTCAGTAGTGCCTGAGGCATTTTTGTTTGTCTCATGCGTCTGACTTATAATCACTAGAGTGTTGCAAAATGGGTGCCTTTCCAGAATCAGAACGTAAGAACTGAGGGAAGGGGTGGTCAGCAAATCATTCCAGTTCCTTGTCTGGAGTTTGCTAAATAACAAGTGAATTAGGTCCGCCCACCCCACGTTTTAAGTCTCAGCAACACGTTTTAGTCTACTGATAAGATTTTATTAATATGTCACACAGGAAAGTGGGGAAACACAGAGATCTATTTCTGCCTCTGGCAATTCAGATAGCATGTCCTTCCCATACCAGGTAGAAAATGTTCTCTGTGATAGTGTTCCTCCTTCTACTGACTTAGCAGACATGGGAAGCTGAAGAGAGCAGACATGTAAAGCCCCAATTTTGGGGAATTTTCCCTCCTTCTTATGGCAGGTTCTCTCTACATCTGTTTCTGATATTGCATTGATCTCAGCTAGGCTCTGAAACAGGACACTAGCCACTGCTCACTATGACATGCTTCTGTAAATCACAGCTTTCATGTCCATTTCGGAGGGTTGAAAGACGTTATTCTAATGGCCGGGTATCATTCAGTGTTTCACTAACTCAGAACTGGGAAACTACAGGTCAAGACTACCTGAACTGAGATTTAGGTGTAAATTGTGGGTGCATTGACCGCTTAATTGGTGGAAATAGTGTATGACCTCTACAGAGATAGTAAGACCTGTGGATTGTAACTAAACAGTCCTTTGGCCACGAATTATTCGATAAAACATGAAAGAAGCTAAAACATATATAAGGGTCCTGCTATAGATGGGCAATAATAACAGTATGAGGAGTTTTTTACTTTCTAGTACTGAGAGTTGAATCTAGGGTTTTCACACATGTCTTAAAGATCAGTGCAGACAAAAAAAACATCACCACAACTGGCAAAACTAGACAACAACTTAAAATACATCTAATCTTTATCTCACAATCGGAGCTACAATGTAGCTGTTATAATTTGTTTGCTTATACAAAAATAACTGTCACCAGAAACAGGACTCGAACAAAATGTAGAACATTGAACTCCCTCCAGTCCCCTAGAAATAGCTTGTGTTTTCTTACTTAAATTGCTATTGTGGGGGCAGATGTGAAAGCAAGCCGGCTTTCTAGAGATACCTGAAGGTAATCATAAGCTGGTGAAGACAGGCAAGCGGGCCTGAGCATGCCCTGAATGAGAAGAGAGAAATCTGAGGCAGAAGATGAGGAAGATGGAAGCAGAAGTAACTCCCCAGCCCTGTGTGTGCACCTCTGCAGTCAGCGAAGGCGTTCTAGACAAGCTTCCATCTCTTTCTCTGGACTTCATGTTTCCCTGCCCTAAGCTGCCTCTGGGTAAAATGCACGTTCAGCTTGATTGACCTGCAGTGGGCCTGTTACATGCAGTGGGTCCAAAAACCTTTTGAGCTTCAGCTTTCTGTTATTGCCGCTTGCAGCTGCTTGGAAATTCTTAAGGGATGGGCTCACAGGCAGAAGGTGTGGGAGACCAGTGAGTGGTGCTTGAAGAACCAGGGTGGTTCGGTTCTAAAGCACCCTTGATATTTCACATTTATTTATTCACTGCTTATAGAGACGGCAAAGAAAATGCCTACATAGAATTATACCCTTCCACATAGCAAAGCTGTAACCCCGGCTCTCTAAGGGCTGCAGCCCAGGCTCGGAGAGGTTTAGAACTGTGGCCCTGCAGTCCACAGCAGCGCCTTCCAGGGCATTTTTAGGCTTAGAGAAACTGGTCTCACAGCTATCATTGACACGGAAATCACATACTCTGCAAAGTGATAACAAGGACAAGGCCTCAGACTGGCTGCGCTACGGACTAAGCCTAATGTCTTGAGTCCGATAGTCACGACCTGACCTCCCAAACTCCTTCAGAGTGAACCGCGTAGGCTTGATATAGTTTGCATAATTTCAGAATGGAAGGATGTGGTTTTACAAATACGGAATTTTAGTTCTGCACAGTGTCATCTTCGGAAGGTGGGAGAGATGGCACTTTTGAAAAAGGAAATACTGTTAGGTTTCAGCTTACCTGTGAGGCTGCTGGTTACCTACAATATCTATTTTAAAATACTAAGCTTGGAAAGTAATGGGGTTCTGGAGAGGAACCGAGATACTTTGTCCAAAGCAACGTCAACTTTGTATTTCCAGAAAAGTCCTGTGTATGGACTGACACCTAGGAGCAATAATAAAGAAGGTATTTTCTTGTACCAAAAAAAAAAAATCGTCCGACCAGCATAGCCTCCGGGGTACTGATTACTCCTCGGGCCAGCTGTCCCGGGCCTTTGCTAGGGCAGCCACAAGGGAAGCGTTTCATACAGTGAATGCCATTGGGCCTTTCAGATTTCTTTTCCCCCAAAACCACCAGGCAGCTCCCTCTGCCTGACAGGTGTTTTCCCAACTCTAGAGGCCAAGGATTTTGGGGAGTGTCTGAGCCAATAAGAGTTCTCCTTGGGGGGGAGGGCGTGGCTACATGGTCAGAGCAGGGGCGGGGCTTGTGCAGCTGAGGAGAGCCTAGCTGGTTGCGTGGAGGGTTGTTTGATTTCCACCCCCTCTTCTTTCTTTTTTTTTTTTCTCTCTCTCTTTTTTTTTCATTCTCCCCGAGTCTTATTAATTTCTCTGTGGGGCTGCGGCTGGAGACCGTGGAGCGTTGAAAATGACGCTCGGAGCTTTAATTACCGCAATGGCTGGACAAGTGTGAGGAAAACTGACAGGGGCAAAAAGGAGGACAGGATCGAGGAGAAGCAAAGAAGCACCCCCACCCCTTCTCCTTTTCCCTCCAGATTTGGACCGGAGGTGCAAAGAGATTGGAGAGAGAGCTGAACATAGCCCGGCTTTGGGGGAGAGGCCGGAACCCTGCCGCCTCTTTGCAATCAACTTTTTTTGGAAGCCTTTTTTCCCCCTCTTCTTTTTATTGTTGACCAACCAGTGAGAGAGGGGGAGCGAGCGAGCGAGAAAGTGAGGAGGGAGCGAGCAAGCGGAGGATCACTCGGGGAAATAGCTGTACAGTCCTGCCTGGAGCACCAGCCGCACAGCACAGTCGCGCTCACTCCCAACGGCGCGCACTCTCCCGCGGTCCCTCGCCGGGTTCCCGGGTCCCCGGGCCCTGGAAGCCACCGGTTCACTCGCTAACCCCGGGAGCCCGTGCACCGCGCTCGCCGCGCCCGCCCCCTTCGCGCTCCCCACGCGCTCCCGGCTGAGGGGGAAAAGCTCCTCCGCGTGCCCGCAAGGGGCTATGCCATTTGGACATGTAATTGTCAGCGCCGGATCTGAGACTTGCCCAAAATGAAGCTGGCGACGGGACTGTGGGTCTGGGGGAGCCTTCTGGTGGCAACGGGGACCGTCCAGCCCAGCGCTTCGCAGTCAGGTGGGTCGCGCGGTCTCGCCGTTCCCTCTCGCGCTCCAGCTGTTGAACCCGCCACCGCCTCGGGTGGCTCCTTTCTCCTTTTCGGCCCCATGTCACCCACTGGATCCCAGGCTCGAGGAACCAGAGGGACTGGGGCTTCTGCCTTGGGTCGCCCCTCGCTCCAACCCAAACTTACCTTTATGTGCGTGAGTGCGTGTGTTTTTACTGATGCTGCAGATGAGTCCGCTTTCCTGACTCCCCCGGTATTATTTTCCGCCCCCCTCCGTCTTTAGCCCCCTTCTTTATTTCTCGCGCGTTTTCTGGGAGCCTAAGCGGGATCGCTTCTGGTGGCGCCCGTTGTTCGGGACGTGGGAGACAGGAGCTGGTCAGTGGAGGTTCCTTCCTCTTCGGGCTGGGCAGGCGAAAAAAAAAAAGAGAGAAAGAAAAAGAAGAAGAAAAAAAAAAAACCAAACAAAACCAAACCCAGATAGAATTGCTACACCTCTTCGGCCACAGAGATGTTTCTAGGCTGCTCCTGCCTGGCCTTCCTGGGGTGCAGGGCTGCCGCGGGTGGAGCGCGGGCCGGGAGCCCGGCTTGGCACCTGAGCGTGCTTGCGTGCAGCGGCCAGCTCGACTCTCCCGTACCCGGCTGGGTCACCCGGGACGCGGAGCCGGGCTCTGGCAGCTGGAGCGCACCGGACCCGCGCCTAGGCCAGGAGCCCGGGTCACTGGGCTTCTCCGTAGACATCCCGGAGCTGTCTTGCAATTGACTTTGGGGTCGCTTGCTCTCCTGCCTGCAGGATCTCTTTAAAAAAAAAAAAAAAGTCTCATAGACCAAGCACAGAGCCCGACCTTCCCGCCCGGTGCAGGGCTTGCTCCCGGAAGAGTTCTAACTTGAGGTTGGCCTGAGTCCCTCCAACTTCTGTTTACTGCCCTGCGGGGCTGCTGAGCCCACGGGTGGCGCTCAGTGACTTAGTCCGAGGCGGGCGCCTTGGCGGCGCCCTGAGATCGGCCGCTGTTGGCCCAAGCGCTGCAGCCCCAGGTATTTGGACAGAAAAAAAAGAACTAATTGAGTCCAAGAGGTGTCACTGGCAAGCTGGGGCGTCCAGGGCCAATGACAGCAGCTCCGGTGCCATGGAGCTCAAAGTTTTTTTTTTTTTTTTTTTGACACTTGGGAGTTTCCCCGGGATAAGAGGAGGGAATAGGAAAGGACCAAGGAGAACCGGTGTGTCTGATGCGACCAAAAGGGCTGAGAAGAGGGCTTTTGGAGAGGCAGAGAGATTTCCGGAACCTTCCGGGGCTGGTGGCAGGAGTGTGGGAGTCAGCTTGAAGAGATAAAGCGTTTAGGAGTGGTGACAGGGAGAGCTTTAGGTCCCCAGAGGGTGTCCTTCTGACCTCACCGAGAAAGCAGCAGCTTGCTAGTTTTCCCGCTCCGCCCCCACCCGCGCCTCCTCCTCCTCCTTGCCTAGTAAATAACAAGTTACAGTCTTAGAGCCGTTCAAAATGACCTTCGAAAGGCACATGTGCGCCATTTGTGCTGGCCGTTTGCACACTCCCAGTGACTCCGAAATTCTCCGTGCATACCAGCTATGGTGCTCCAGTCACCTCTGGAATCACAGCAGCCAGGACTTGAGATTCCAGGCAGCCGCCTAGATACATGCTTCTCCTGGCTACCCACTCGGAGCTTTTCGCCTTTCCCCTCAATGGGCTGATTATGCACATTGGCCCATTCAAAAACACTTGCTACTGTCACGCAGGCTTAGCCAAGAGGAATTTGTATCAGGCCACCCTACCAGGGGGCTGTCTGGCGTAGCCTGGGCCGCTGGGGGATCCCCGCTTCAAGTCCGCGGCAATTTAGTATTAACTGTGCAGTTCCCGGTAGGGCTATGCCGAAAAGCCCTTTTCAATATTTAGGCAAGGAATGTAATCCAAATTAGTTCTGCAGCTGTCCCCTTCCACGTCTCAGACGACACCAGCTTGCGCCCTAGCTCTGCTCTGCTCTTTCCCCTGGACGAATAGTCAGACCCACAAGTGAGCCCATTTAGAAGCACGAGGATTAGCGTGCCATTGTTGTTCCGTGTGTGACTCTGTACTTGAAATTCTGGGGGCACAAAAGAGAGCCTCACTTGTTCAAAACACAAAGTGATCTAGATGAAAGGGCCGCACAAAGAAAGGCTCTTGGGTGCATCCCTGCTATAATTGCAACAAGCGTACTTGGGTGATCTATTGGAAACTGTCAGTGCCCCCAGGGACTTTTTTTTTTCCAGGCGCCCCACCGCACCTGGCAGAGAAAGTTCAGCTGGTTTTAATGTAGTGCTATGATAAAATACGTAGCTGTCTGGTGAAAGCGAGCCTCGGTGTTTGTGGCGGTGCTTGGATGTGTGTGACTGTCTATCCAAGCAAATACATACTGCGCGTTTCCTCTCTCGCAGTTAGCAGTCAGTAGCAGTTTGGAGGAGTTTGTTTTGGTCCAAATGAGAAATTAAGTGCGGATAAGTAAACTAGGCTGCCAGAGGGCGACAAGATGTTGAGTGAATTGCTTTTAGATGAAACAAATTAAGGAAACGAGGGAAGACAATCTGCTTTTCGCATTATTAGACACGCTTGGAGTTCAGGGGAGAGGGGCATATTTTTGAAATGCTAATTTCTTAAGCAGAAGGAATGCACCTTATTTACTGCTGTGTGTGTGAACGGAATAAAACATACAGTGTGAGATTCTCTCCCACGATCTTCAAGACTTTCTTGGGAAAACTGTACATGAGAAAACTTGTTTTTATTCTGCTTGAGGGAAACCAAGTCAGCTTTCGAGTATTTTAAGATAATACCGAAGAATTTTTGACTCATTACTGGTGATAAATTTTATCTATAAATGTTTTAGCTTAAGGCCTTTATATGGCAATTCCACTCGAAGGAGTTAAAGTGTTTGCCTTCTTCCTATGGTGGGACTTAGCAATATCGCTGCTGTACTGAGATAAACATATCCAGTAGTGTTGAAGTGACATTCCCCTAAGCCCCAATATGTGATGGACAAGTTCATTCTCGTCTTCATGTGCAAGTTACTTAGTCCCCTTGCTTTTCATTTAATTAACGTTCACACATCTCCTACAAACTTAAGGTATATTATTTTACCCAAACTTTAGGTGGTATTTTACATATGAGAAGGAAACATTCATAAAAGTTAAATGATAGAAATACTGCAGAGATTCTCTAGAACATACCAATTGTCTCTCCAATGTATTTGCAATGAGCATGCCCACGGGGAGACTATCATAACCCCTTTGTTCCTTTAATTTTGAAGACCATGCATGTGTACACAAGAGAGCTTTGTAGGAGTACACGTTTCCATTCAGAAGCCTTCTAAATAGATGGATGCCTCTCACTGTAACTGCAAACTACTTAAAAACACTATCGTTTCCTACGCCTGAGATGAAGTCATGGCTCTGATTCTGTCGCGATCCCTTGTTTTTCATGTCCACTCAACTGCCTTTATTTTAATCATGCAAACATAGAAGTCCAAATTACTTGAAAAAAAAAACCCAAGCACTTACAGCTTTGTGTATATTCATATTTTCATTTAGTCCCTGGAAATGTGTCTTAATTAGGAAATCACGCCAGAACATTTATTACGGCTTGCATGGGATGAAAGATTTATGTATTTTTTATTCTAACCTGGGCACAACGTTTGCATTGGCTGATGTTTTAGAGTCTGAATTCACTTGATAGAAAATCATATTTCCTCCTCAAAGTGGATTCAAATATTTAGTATTCATGAGTGTTCATCTCTTTGGTTCTTAAATAGAAGTACTGTTTATCATCTGTCTCATACATTCACCCCTTCCATTACTATGGATTCCTTGCATATTCTTTGAGTTTATGCACATGTGAATATTTATATTTCCCTCCCACCACTAAGTGTATTCATTTGTGTCTGTGTATGTGTGTGTCTCTCCCTGCAATCTGCCACTCAGCCACGGCAGGACTTCTCTAAACCAGCTTTCATTCTTTTTCTCTGATAAATCTGATATGGCTGGTTGGCTGAACAACCGTAAGCCATTCCATTGCTCAGATTTATCCCTGAAAGAAAATAAAACAGCATCGATCCCAGATCACTGGGGCACCTACAAAGCCCGGACTCCAAGGCCAAATATTCCCACAGAGAAGTACATCTTTCCCTTGTACTGTCCCTCTTTCCTCCCATTGACCATGGAAAGGTGATGACTGCCATCCAACAAAAGCTACTGACACAAGGAAGTGTGCTCTGGGTAGTCTCTGAAGCTTGATTACAGCCACCTTGAGATGAATAGCTATGTAAAGTGCATGTTTTACACAATATACTAAATTAGCATGCCTTTAATATTGCATTGCCTTTTGTGCTATGTCCAGTCAGTTATTAAGAAAATTTAGTTTGTGTTTTCAAAATAGCAGTAACTTTTGATTTTACAGTGTTCTGCTGTTGCTGGATGTCCAGAAGTGATGTATAAATATCCAAAATCTAAACGGAACAGAAGGAATGTCTATTACCAGCAGGCTTATTGGCATTTGTTGTTAATAGTTACATTGAAATTAGCTAATACATGTTCAAATCTACAATAGTCTATAAAAGTGTCAAGAACACTTTGTTATCTTTTACACTGATAAGCTGAATGTGCTATACAGAGAGAAGCTGATCATAATTCCGGCTCTCTGCTGGCTTAGAGATATGTTTATATCATAGATGGTCTATCATAGTAACATTTCACCATACTGAACTAAACTGGGTCTTTTTTGTAATATTTATTTTGTGTAATATAGATATAGTGTGTAATGTAGATATATAAACAGGGAGAAATATTTAAATTATTGCTAGGAGAGTTATTGATAAGAGTTCACAATGAGAAAGTAGTTTAATTTTTTAATTTAGTTATCCCAAATTTTTTTTAAAAAGGTGATAGTTCAATGTTTCCTGAAACCATAGCACGTCTACATAATTGTGATGAGAACCTACCTGCCTATATTGTAATTAAGAACAGCCCGGATCATAA